GGAGCACTGTCGCGGAGCGAATCAACAGGCGCAAATGTCGCGGCGAGGCTCGCTGCAGCATTTGGACAACGGCGGCCACGAGTCTCCGGAGCGACAAGCGTCCTTCATGCGACCGAACCTGGTGGCCGATCAGAGTCGCGGAGGTGGCATACCATTGCCGGGTATGGTGCCAAGATCATTACACTCGAGTCCTATGCATCACGGCTTGGCTGGGACGACCGCGATGCATGGCTTTGTCAATCCATTGGGTCCCGGTGTACTCATGGGATCGCCTCTGATGCAACAACGGGACGTCGCTTCTGTTGGTGTTATGGCTGGGATGCCTATGCCATCGTCGCCTAGACAGCAAGGTACCCGTAAACTTATCGGGCCAGATTACGAAGGAGCGATTACTTTTATCATTATATTGATAGTAGAAAAGTGTCGCTAGTCACATTGAAAAGGGTAGGGGCTTGGGGAAAAAGCGAGTTTTATAAATTCATGCGAAATCGCTGGAGCCTCTTGGTTTTCCCTGTGCATCTTGTGGATATGCACAGAAAACATTACGTTAACGTTTCACTGAAAAAGATGTTGCGTGGAGAATTTCCTTGAAAATGTCGGTGTTCGCGTGTGCGCTAATTAAACAGACTGTCTTGTCTTGTCCATTCGTATCGAAGAAAGCAAGAGTCGAAGAAATTTAATTTGACGCTCAACTGAACAAACAAGCTTCTTAGATGTGATATTCATGGTTATCGTTTTACGATGCACTAAAGGGCATTACTTTATAGTCCAATCGAAATTGCTGACGTGGATGGCCGTAGTCTCTCTTTCATCGGGTTAGTTGAACGGGGTTCCATGTTTAAGGGCACCGGACCAAGCTGAAACTTTAAACTACCGGAAGCGTTTAGAACGCTGTCCATTGACTGATTGCGCTCTATCATAGCCTCTACTTTGTGAATCTCGTTGGATATAAATCAATCCGTGTGATCCTTGCATTTTCTTAGAGGAGATTTTTCTTGCCGAACACGACACCTATTAAAGATGAAAACAGAATAACAGACGTCCAATTGATGATTTATTATTCACATTATTTGTTATCGATAATACTGATGCAGTATTATTACTAATTTTCTGTATTTATAAAAAAAGTACAAAGCATCAAACTTGAGACAATATCGATCTTCCCTCATCGAATAGTTATTCCGAAAAGTTTGTCTGCATTGCGCTATCGTGATACGATGAAAAATCACCCCGTCGAAAAATCTTGCGATATAATAGCGCGATACTATACTGAAAAGTAAACAGTGTCAATACGCTGTGAGGCCCGAAGGAATCAATATTTTTGCACATTCGCCGTCCCGTTGTGTAATGAGCAGGTGAATCGGAGAGGGCAGTGGACGAGCTCCTCTAAATGAAAAGAAAGGCCAAAGCAGCATCGAGGATCAAAACACGGCAAGAGGCTGCAAAATGAGACTATAAAACCAAGAGGCGAGACAGTGCGGAAGTAAATAACAAGAGCTCGAGTTGAGTGCGGGAATCGTCCGAGATGCAGACACCGAGTACCAGCCTTATTAAAGCTTGGTTCAGCGTCGTATTGAGCCGACGTTATATTCGTCGTCAGTGCGGTAACGAGGTACACACACAGGTAGGAGAGTTGAAGCTTGGTTTTCATCTGGTGTGTGCGCGCGCGCGCGTGTGTGTGTGTGTGTGTATGTGTGCACACACACAGTTGATTGCCAACTCTGACTTGCAGCTGCGAGCGATTGATTTCCAGTTGTTTCTCCGATTCAGATCTAATCGATGGGAAGCGTTAGCGGAGGATTAGATATTCATGCTTTTCAAGTCCGCGAAACCGGCGAATCGAGTAAGCCTTTTGCCTATTGATCGCGTCTGTGGGCATGTTCAATTTCGAATTGGGATCTCTATTCGAGGATTTTGGCTTGGGATTTGAGCAGTCTACCACTGCTTGTCGTTGAACATTCCTGTTTTTTAAGTAGGTAATTCGATTGATAGTCTGCTTCTATACACTTAGCCACAAGCATGATACCACGACCGCGCTGACAAGTTAAATTTTCAAAGATAAACTGGTTAAATTGGTTTTAATTGTAGAAAAAAATTTCAAATCTAAGAGCTTAACATCCATCGCCCTAAATATATGTGCACTCACCGCCTTATCTTTCCCCTTTCTGAGCATCGCTAAATTAACTCACTTCTCAAGGGCGATCGAGTGCTTGGTATAATGATCGATTAGCAAAGTGTTGTCGAAGCCGATAAAGATCAGCGTGGGTGTAATGAGGTTATCCACTCTTGGTCGAGGCTCTCGCGCGCGAACACATGACTAGAAGGGACTCAATTTCCGGGACAATGGATCGTCGGGACGTTTTGTAAAGTCGATGAGAGGAGACAGACACACACGCTACAAATATTTTAATGCGATTACAATGTAAAAGATTACCTCACCTTCCTGGTCAGTTGACGAGGGGTTTCCTCATAATCGTTTGGCATTTCGAATGTGGTGTAGGTTTTGATGATCAAGTAAATCATTTATAGTTTAAAGTTTTTTAGTGACGTCTCACTTGACTCGATTTTTTCTACTGATCACTGAATACGTATAATGAAGAGAAATGATTATCAGATGCTAGTATATTCATCGTTAAAAAATGGACGTTTCTGTGTTTCGTGGAACCTATTAGACTGGATTACGTAGAGCTTTAGATATTTGTTGAAGCACGACTATTGTTTGATATTTTATTTTTATTTTAGTTGGTTTTAAAACGTCGATAATCAATCACTTTTTGATACCTGAAAGAATCATGTGAAACAATAGGAAAATAATGTTTAAATACTTGATAATCTTTTTTAAAGATGAATGATCCATGAAACTTTTATCTTAGGAATAGTGTTGAATTAGTTTCGACTTCTTTCTCTTCTCCTAAAAAAAGAAATAATACTTGTAACTGAGCTCATTTATGTAAAAAAAAATTTAGCTAGTATTTAGCTGCCGATCTATAAAAATGTTTTGAGATTCCAAGATCGACCGAACACTGTTGTTTTTTTCCTTTTTCACGATTCAGCTATGCTTTAACGAGTACTTTAAATAAAAACTGATGCTTTTCTGCCGTTATTTCCCTTCCTTCGTGGAAAAATGAAACCAGGCTTTTTCTTTTATTTCTGATCAATTTTTCTCTCACAATTTCAATAGACATCTGAAAAAGAAAAGAAAAAATAACCATTCATTAAATTATCCATGTGCAAATTTATCAATACGCGCAAATGCGACCTCATGCATTATCCTGTAGAGAGAGACAGAGGCTAACCATGCATATTCTATAGCTTCATTTCGGGTGTAAAAAATGCGGTAAAAAGAGATTCACTTGGCTCAATCATTCGAGCGTAATGGTTGAAAAACAGAACCAATGAGCTATAGTTTTATAGTGTGCCTTGTGTTTGGCATTATTCATTATTTAAACAATTTTCACTTTCCACATTCAGAAGAACACTAGGTAAAATACTAAAGAAGAATTCATCAAATTGGTTTTCACATTCAGCAGATCAAGTTTCTAACGTGAGAAAATTTTGTTCAAAGAATCATAAGCCTATCTTGTCAAAATAGATTTTTCTATCATTAAAAATGTAACATAATAATATCCGTTAGTTCATAATGATAGTCAATAGATATACAAAATTGACTAATTCATAATTGCATTGATATTGCAATGTTGCACGAGCAACTTCCTTTCCTTAATCAATTGATTAAATCCTTACTTTAATTTAATTTCCTTTGTTCAACAAAATATTGAAAAGAAAAAAATAGAAAAGGATGTGTATTCCTATGCGACGGAAAGAGCCTTGGTCATACAATCGAGTATATTTACATTTTGTAGGGCTTTTCGATGAAAAATATTGGAAATCACAGACGGTTGATATGCAATAAATATCGACGATCGTCTCATTTTACAATCTTATCAAGAATGAAGCATTTTATTTCAAAAAATTATCTTACCCACCCGTCGAAAAAGAGGCTCCGAACTTTTTCTCAACCGTCGGAAAAAAATCGATGACATAAATATTCATGAATCGTCTTTCGTTTTTTTTTTTTTTCATGGTCGCAGCAGTGTCTAGCGATCGCTCCATCGTGCGGACGAGCGAAAATGCCGTCGCTCGATTTCCCATAGAACGTGAACGTGTGAGAGTTGCGCACACTTATACGCCTCGCTTCAGAATCCATCTGTTTTCCAGTGTCGCACGCTCGCCCAGTGATTAATGACCCGATACATTAACGTTACATACGAATTTCATGGGCCCTCAGTCTTTCCACCGGATCTTTTATTTTCTTGCAGCTTTTTTTCTTTTTTGGACTTCGTATCGGTAAGCGTGCTATTCATTGGCTATTGGAGTCGAGCGTGTACGCAATGGAACAAAAGTAATTTTATAATGTGTCTGATTAAAGCTATTTGCGTCCACTCAAACAGCTTACTTGAAGAGACATTCTACTAGGATTTAATCTATTTAGATTGACTATTTGGATTTTTTCCACTTTCAGGCGAACATTAAGAAAATTTATCTGGCTGGTTGCATAAGTCTATTTTTCTAGTTGCTTATTATTGTTCAGATAATCCAGTTGAATAAAAATCAGTTAAGTCATTTGTATAACAAATATTTACTTGCAGCATATTATTTATAACCCTAAAAATATTTGTAATATGAAGAGTTTCGCAATAGAGATCAATATATTTCAACTGAAATGTGCATCAAGCTTAACGTCATGCTATTGAAAAAATGATAGGCATAATGAAAAGTTATAAAATGAAATATGTAGATTTAGCTTGCTAAACTAAAATAACACGATCTAATTTATTTGTGCTGCACTACTTGTACTGCATTATATTATTTACGATGCTGAATATTTCAGATGAAAATCGTATAAAAGTTAGGTTTCGCGCCATTCCCCGTCTGACTGAAACGGATTTTCTCTACTATGAAGCAAACATAAAAAAAAAAACTAATCCGATTGGTTACAGTAACAAAGCTACGGGAGCACTGGCAGGAGACAAACTCGAAGGTGATGCAACGCAAAGCCGAGCTAGATGCGATGCTCGGCGATAGTCAACGTTTCGATGCGAAACGCAGCGAAGTGGAGGTTTGGGTGTCTCGAATGGAGACGCGACTCGAGAGAATGCGCGCTGTCGGACATACCGCCGACGTGCTCGAAGCCCAGCTGCGCGAGCAAAAGGTAAGGTATTACGCACGGTGAAACGATTGACACTATAGTCCTCCATTGTCCATTGCTATGAATGCCGAATCTATAGTTTATCGTCCTGCTCTCTCGGGAAGGTTATCATACGCCCTTTCGCATATGAATGAATAGAGCACTTGACTTTTTTCTCACATATATGCTAAATTTTTGCAGTATTCACAAGTTAGTATTTATTTGGCAGTTTACATTTGCATATGATCTTGCAGCCTCCGTGTCTTAACCTCCTCAATTTCCAAGTTTACTATTAGTTTGCTTGCAAATTTGAAACGTGCTATCATCTCAGCTTGAGAGAATCAGTATTAAGTTGGCGGTCCCCCGCGACCTCCGTCACCTTTCTATATTTAAGTAAACGATAGCGTAGAGGCTGAAATTACATGGAGAAATAGCAAGTTTATCATGAGAAAATTGCGCTCTTCAATTTCACGCCGTGGATGCATAAATCTTCTATTACACTTGATAGGTTAGAAATTTTTGAGATAATCAATAGATTCGAAATAATGATGATTAATGAGCGTACATATTCATTCACAAGTGATAGGGAAATCCGACATGTAAAATTGCATATTCGTATTCTAATATAATATAATATATATATATATATATATATATATATATATATTGTTCTTAGGTTTTTATTTCTATGGAAAGTCATTGGAGCAATTGTAATGTAGAAAATTGGTGTTTTTTAATGCGATTTTTTTGAAATAAGTTTTGCGAAAAAAATAACGAAGTGCACGAAACAACAGAAATTCGTAATATGATTCTAACGAAGTAGACATCATGCTCGAGCATTTTCAAAGAGCAAAGTTCTTTTACGAGCACAAGTGAGGAAGACTTCAATATGAAGTGTAAATTCCAAAAGCTTCCAAGCTATTTGCCAACGAAGTAATAGCCCTTATTTCGTCGATTTCGCATACAGACTCTCGTGTCTATACACGCTTTCACATGAACTTTAGCCAAAAGTACTGTGCGAAACTAACGCCGAGGCTGCAAATACAAATCAGCAAAAAGTATTTAGCAAAGTGAGTGAGAGATTCAAGGTGAAATATTTTTTTATCTTCGAAAGGATCTTCCTTCCGGGTCTCCACCCTTTTATTGACTCTTTTCTCTCGAAGCACAGAGAGAAAGAGAGCCGTATTTATTTGAACCTCTTTCGATTCTACTCGCTTGCTCAAATATACGTAACAGCAACATCGAATTCGGTATTGCAGCGCGAGGATAATCTGCTCCTATGCGAATATAAAGTTTCGTCGATTGACTGCTATATTATAGCTTCCCCAGGAATCGTTTTAAAATAGCTTCTATTTACGTAATTTACAATCTTCAATTGATCGCATAAACTATGAGCTAAATCTGCTATAGTAGGTAAATCCACATACTAATCATTCATCGCAATCGATAGATTCAAGTGCTAAACTACATAATACAAAATATTTCCGTCGTAAACTAATATCTTACAAAGTCACATTTAAAAAATCCGTAATCTCCGGCTAGCAAGGCATTGAGACGAGCGTGCAGCAGCGAATCATTTCAACCTATTACAAAACCTATTGACGATCTTCTTCGCATCTTCGCTTCTCGCTCCGAAAAAGATCTCCGCTGTTTTAACTCGCGCTGAACGTATAAGCTTAAATAACTTAACGTTCGATCAAAACTATGACTGTTAGAGCTACGATATAATAATTAATTGTCTATTTTCAGTCATTCCACGCGGAACTACACCAGTACAAACATCAGATAGAGCTGTTTAATTCGCTCACGCAAAAGCTCATTGCCGTTTATCAACAGGACGACACGACCAGAGTGAAAAAACTCACCGAGACTATCAATCAGCGATATAACAATCTTAATACTAGGTAAATGTTTGGTTTGGTATTGATAATTTTAGATTAAGATTGTGCTATTACATCAGTAGCACGAATAGATCCGTAAGACTTTTGCTGCGTTCGTATTAGGCGAAGCTAAGAACAAAACTAGCTTCCTTCCGAGGCAGAAACTTTAGTTGCAAACATACGAACACACGCGAGCGGAAGTCAAAACAGTGTTTGGGTTTCAGTATCATTAACCGAGGCAAACTGCTGCACTCGGCAATGAACTCGTTGCACAACTTCGACCGTTCGCTGGACAAGTTCCTCGCATGGCTGAGCGAGGCAGAATCGGCCACGGAGTCGCTCGAGACCGAAGCTGATCGACAGGTTGGCAGACGCGACCAGACCGCTCTAGCACGATCACAGCTACAACTTAAGGTCAGTCAGTTTTCATTCTTTTGTTTAATCCATTGATTGCAACAAACATTTAAAGGCTTTTGAAGTTGGTTGTATTTGCTCGAAAGGTAAGAAAAAAATCTGATGTTTAAATGGCATCCAGAGTAATAGAACTTTTAAGCAAATCATTCATAGCCTTCTTCAATTCTCGAGGCGATTACCAAACCGTTCGGCTTGCGAATGCAAATCCAATTATCGTTGGATGAAAAAAAAGAATTATTCCCAATAGTGCGCAGCCAAAAAAAAAATCTTTTTGCGCGCTCAAGCACTTAGCAGTCCGATAGGTATAAAAATTGCTCGAGATAGCGACGTCAACAAGGCTGAAATAAAAAGAACGTAGCATGGCAATTGAAGCGGTTTTCACGTGCGTTGGCCTCTTTTTTAGAAGGAATATATCGATCTCTGTTTTTATGGAGGGAAATTCGTTTCGTATTATTTGTTTCAACAATGATTTATCGCATTAGACACCTGATTTCTTCAAATATTTTCCTAGTTTTAGAATTACAGAACCAACAGTTCTACGAATGAATTGGTTGGCGACTGAAAGTTTTGATTATTCGTCGTAGTGCATTAATTCCAACAGCTCCATCACGAGGCTCTCGTGTGAATTAATGTGAGAAGTTGCCATCCGAGTTCATCTCGAAACATAGCAGCAAAAGTTGGCCTGTACTTTTGATAATAAATGTATCGTTTTAGTCTTTTTAATTGCATTTCTTTTTCAAACTAAAATAACGTTATTTATTAACTCCGTAGGTATTTTCAAATGAAGAAAATTGAAGCTTCACAGGCGAATCTCTTTATTAATTAAAACGTCCGTGGCAGAGCTTATCTAATGTTTAAGATAATCGTTTTCTCCATCGGAAAATAGACCAAAGTTAATTCAATTTTTCGGAGGTCATGCCATTTTTTTCTCTTTCGCTTTCCCAACGTAAACTACCTCATCAACTTGTTTTCGTTCTAACTATCGTCTTTCGCGATATCACCGACCTTCATTTTTCATTCACCTGTGAATTAACTTGATTTTCATAATTAAACTGCTACTGAAATTTCTCTGCATTCGAATTCATTGATTCAATACTAAATAACAATCAACATCGAAATTAGCAGCAGAATAAATATTTGGTTAGTCAATTCCGCTCTTTTAACGTTTCAGTTTTATCTCTCGTGAATACCCTGTATCACAGGCACAAAAAAAAGGTGCCAAACCATCTCGTCGGAAGATACAAAGAATTCAGAACTCGCATTGAGCCTCAAATTCCAATTCTCATGGCAATTACTATCATTATCCTCGAGGCAAGTGTCGCCAAGTATATACTGGCTCCATATATCCGCGAATAGTCGATAATACATGTGCCCAGATGAAATTTCATTAGGATTACTTCGCGGCAGAGTTCCATGAAATTCAGATTGGCTTGGAATCAGTGGGTCGTTTTTGTGCCACCAAGTTATGTCGAGAGAGAAAAAACCCGCGCGCGATAATCGACGGCTTGGACGTGCGCGAACAATTCCATGAGCTTTTCCTTTTCAATTCCTACGTGAGAGTTTGATTCGATGAAAAGAATGAGCTTAGAGAATCTTTATTTTCAAATCTATTTTATGGATACCTTTATTCTTCGAAGATTTTTTATTTCCTACATTATAGACACAGTTTCTAAAGTTGATTGGAAGAGGACATCGTTATAAAATACGCGATTAGCAATATTTTTATATATCCAAAAACAATTTGTCTGTATATATATGCGTGCGCCATCCATACTTTACAAAAGAAACAGACATGTTGTTCGGCTATAAGAGAGTAAATGGAGTTTTAAATATTAACAAGAGAATACTGATGAGATGGTGACACTAACTAACCGCTTTCCAAAATTTTCTCAAAGTATGTAAGCAGTTTATTACAAGTAACGTAAAGATTAAAAACTAGTTGGCACGTTTAAAGCGATACACGAGGCAAACAATGAGAAGTTGATATATCCACTTGTAAATGTCGTTTATACTTCTACCAAGTTTGAAATATTAGGTGACGTGTTAAAGTCAAAAAAAACTTTCAATATTTTTTTTACCAATATGTACGAGACATCTCAAAGTTTTTTAATGAACAGTCTGATGAAACAGTTTGTAAAATATTAATCTCAAACCACACGGAAAATTTCACCGAACACTACGAAGAAAATTTTTCATCTGGGTGTGTCGCACATACATGATCTTCTTCCCGAGCGCGTTTCTCAATTTCCGCTTCTCGCTCGTACAAGCCACAATGTGCAACGCGTTTCTCGCGAGAGGATGACGATCGATCGCTTTGCTCTCTGTGGCGACTGAAGTAACAAAGTTGCTTTCCTCGCGCTTGGCGATAGACTAATGAGATTTTATACATTTGTTCTAACTGTTAAATGAGAACTCACATACTGCTTTTGATAGATCAGGCTGAAGTATTAATTGCGAGATTCATATTTTATCATGGCAAGAGGAGATATATTTCTGATGAATCGAATCGATACGAGAAACTAAACGTATTTGTGATTGAAGGTCCGCGAACCTTCTAATAAAGATTTATTACCTGATAGCTTGGAATTCCATTCTCATACAATTAAAATTTTAAAACTCAATTGAGTGTTCCTTTTAGGGAGAATGCAATTGCAATTACGAAGAGACAAATGTATTGTAATGCTAAACGTTACAACAAGCGTAATGTCTAGAAGACTGTGCAAGACGTCGTAAGAAGCCTTGAATATGTATGAGTATATCTTTCCTCGAAATTTCCGGGTTTCGATTCAGCGAAGTGTCGTGACTCGATGCTTAAAAGAGTAGCAATTTGAATACATTTCCTCAGCTCGACAGGAGCCTTCCTACAACCCAGACTCATGTTGACCATTTTTTTTCTTCTTCGAAAATCCCCATAAGATAACAAGAATAATGCAGGAAAAAGTGCACGTCACAATTCGAATGGTTATCTTTGAAAGGCAACCGAGCCATAGTCGCGAGTACAAAAGAGCAGGCACGAGATCCGAGCGTCGCATCCCAACAACGAGAAAAAACAATCAGCTATCAAAAGATCACTCAAAGCCCTGCTGCTTCTTGGCTGAAAGAAAGCACACCGGCGTAGTGCATCCTCGGTGAATGAAAAAAAAAATCTCGTTACCGGCACTACACGTAGACACGCAGTACCGGGCGCAGGTGTGTGCAAGTCGCGACAACGAACGAGGGGAGGCGGGGCGTCGATCCTAAGATTTTCCTCTCCTTTTCGCGTTGGTGGTCCTGTTACGATCGAAATCCCACGCGCATGCGCACTTGCTTTTATACAGATGGCACTAACTGTCGGAGGAGGGTTGTTGGCTCTGTCGTATCGACGAGGGATGAATGCACCAAAGCTTGGCAACTACTGTCGAGCGTTGAAATACCGTCGGTAGGGTAGGTGCTCGAGGGTGTCTTGGCACAGCTTGACGATAAGCGGATAAAGAAGATTGTACGAGAATATTTTCATTTAAGATAGATAATGTAGAGCTTACTTGTAGGAACTGCTGACAATGCTGTGAACCTCCGATAAGATATCGGCTAACATGTTCATTTATGATATATATTAACGTTTTTACACGTTTACAATTATCAACTAAATACCATTTGAAGTATGATTGTATGAATTTTATTAATTCGCCCAGGAATTGCCACAAAATTAAATTCTTGATTGTTCTTTTGTCGAGTCACTAAAGTTCAACTTGATCAAACGTTTTTATAAAAGAGCAATAATAAATATTTGATTTTACGAATAAATGCATAAAACAAATATTAAATTCAATCATAAATACCGTTTATTCGACTCATGTTGAACAGATCATTCCACGCATTCAATTTAGCTTTGAGTAACAGCGATCGAATTTCGATTGTAAGTGCAGTTTTAATGAAAATTTAAGAAATAAACACTCTACGGTAGAAATGTGTCTAGCTTCATGCTTTTTGTTGTTTTTATAGATATGTCGATTGTCAAGGAAAACGTTCCCCCGACGATCGGCATATCCACGAAGACATAAAAATTCTTATTATTGGTGCATACTACTTATTTGGGTTATTTTAAGTAAATTTCCTTGCATTCAGCTTGTCCATTTAATAATATTATAAATAACAGAAAATTCATAATGCCGAATTATAAAATATCCATTATTTACGTAGTACGAATAAAATTCTTTAAATAGTCCTTTAGCTAAGATTGAGAAATAACTGAGTAGTGATAACTAGATGTGGTCGGACATAATGTAATATATTATGAGCCAAGTAAATTTATATCAGAGTTTTAGTACATTAATATAGTCGTTGATTTATCCAAATATTCTACATGGATTCGTATAATTTGTAATATGTCATAGGTAAACAAGTGAATACTATTGAAAAAGAAATTGATAACTCATTGAAATTTGGAAAACAAAGTTTACCGTGTTCTTCACAATTCCCAAGTGCAAATCTGTCACAGGCCATTTGCATCCATGAAAACTTCAATCTACGCGGCGCAGTTAACGATTTGCAGCTTAAAGAGGAAGAAAGAAGAAAAAAAGAGAACGCGCGGCAAGTCAAAACCGCGAAAAGTTGTCACGTAATATCAAAAGGTCTCGGAAATTGAAAGGAGGGACGCGCGCCGTGAAAGTATCGTATGGCTTAGGGAAATAACGTAACACGCCTCATAAATATTTATTGTGGGAAGTGCCGCCGGCTCGGCAAGAGTGCACGAATCCAATAGTTGTCGAGGTCGCGATTGACGCGAGAAAGATGTCGAGGTACGCCTAGCTTTTACTTGTTTTCACGCCGCTGCCCTGCGCGACATATTTTTGCGCGATAAACCAGCCGACGGCTTGCAACGAATGTGACGTGCGAACTTTATGAAGAGTTTGCATTTCAGATATATAAGCGCAGGGGCTTAAAAGTTTAACTGCCGTGAAAGTAGCTTCCACACTCGCGGTTAAGTTGTCACTTAAATGAAGTTTTGCTTCATACGCGCC